AAAAAAAAGAACGGGTGGATTTCTCATCAAATGATTCTTCCTTCATCTTTAGACAGCTGTCTAAAATAGTCTTCTCTTCGCCTGAACTGAAATCTGTCTGCCGTAGTTTGTATCTTTCCTAGTCTCCTGTCCCTCAATAAAACAAACAAAAGAATGCCTGGGACCACAAGTAACAAGACTGCAAGACTGCTTCCTCTTCCACAGACTTGCATGTATTTCCAACAGCAGATGACTGTTCTTTTTTGGACATAACATTATACAGCACATTACAGAAAACTGATTCAGGGGCGCCTGGGGAACTCAGTCAGTTAAGCGTCCAACCTCGGCTCAGGTCATGATCTCACAGTTCATTAATTCAAGCCCCACATCGGGCTCTCTGATGTCAGCACAGAGCTCGCTTGGGATCCTCTGTCCACCCCGCCCCCTCCTGTTGGCCCCTCCCCTGCTCATGCTTGCTCAAGCACTCTTTCTCTCTCTGTCAAAAATACACATTTTTTAAAAAACTGATTCAATATGTGTTTTTCTGAATGATAGGTTCCCACTCCCACTGTCTTTTCACACAGCAATGGAGACAGACATACACAAATTCTGGCTACTGCACAAATAATTTCAAAAAAGACCATTCAGCTCAACAAAATTAGGTATCTGTCTAAAACTGCCAGGATCATGACTTCATGGGAGCTCAAAACAAAATATTTAATCTTATTTTACACTAATGTAAATGTGAATTGAGATTTCTAATAAAATCAAAACACCAAAAAATTATTTGGTAAAGTCCTCAAAGTAAATTTTATTGATACATTTCTTCAAAGGATTGTGGAATTTTTAAAAATCCCTTCCAAATTTGACAATTTAGGGACAGTGGTAGGAACCAGGAGTATCTGAAGAAAGCAAATACAAATACATTGGTGCTTTGCTAGCTCACTGAGCTAACACCAAGAAGCCAATTTATTCTATTATCTTAAGGAACCTTACATATGGGTATGTTTGAATTGGCCCTCTGAGAATTGTTCAAATAAAGGAAACATGGGGAAAAAAAAGACTGGTTTTCAAAATGTGCTATCTTTGAAAATAAAACTTCAGAAATGTATGTTTGAAAGGATCTGCAAAGCTTGGTACAGTGTTTATATATAAAGAGAACCAATAACCCCCATTGACTTTAAAACTCAAATTAATCTAAAAAATACTCCAAATGGCATGGCATTAGTGACATTCTTTTCAAAGCATTCCATTTAAAAGAAAACCAATAAAACTGTTCTCATCCTTATGAAAAGATCTAATCCCTTTCTAAAACAAAAATATGATTGCAAGAGAAACAACACTGTACAATTCACTGGTAAGTTAAGATTTCTGAGGCTGTAAGACATGGGGCCAAAACAAGTCACACTCAAAAAGGGATGGTTAACACAAGAAATGTGCTATAAGTAAAGTGCATGAAAGGAAGCCTGCTCAGCTAAATGAAGTAGACAAAGATCAGGAGTCAAGGGTCATTCGCCAGAGCGGCAGCAGGCTCGAAAACCACACTGCAAATTCTGGCATCCGCTGGCGGTATCAGCATGAGGACCTGTATAAAAACAGAAAAGTGTGAAAGGAGGAATTTCTTAGAGATCACGTGAAAGAGCTAAGACATCTGACTTTTTTTTACTAGCAATCCA